CTCATGTGGGAGGGGGGAGCGGGGAGGGAGGGGAAAAATGAGGACCTAATGTCGGGGGTTTAAATGGAGAGAAAATGTTTTGAGAAATGATGTACAAGTGCACTTTGCACAATTGATGTGTGTATGGATTGGGATAACAGTTGTATGAGCCCTTAATAAAATGTTTAAAAAAAAAAAAAAGATTAAAACAAAAAAATATAAACAAAGACTAAAAAAATAGAAATGAAGCTGCTTTATTTACAGAAGATTTGGCTGTTTACATAGAAAAATCCAAATAACAGCAGAGTTTGGCAATGTAGGAGGATATAAATTTATATATTTGTACATATATTTGATATATTAGAAAACAAATGAAAACCAAATTAAAAAGAAAGTATAATTTTCAACAGTATCAGAGAACATCAAATATTTAAAAGTAAATGAAACTAAAGTGTGTCAGATATCATCTATCAGCAAAAAATATAAAATTTTATTAAGAGAAAATTTGAAAGACTTATAAAGCTACATTATGTTAATACATAGGAAAACTTAATAATGTAAGAGGTCTGGCTTTTGCCCTTTGCTTCAGAGAGAAAATCTCTAAGATCTTGGAATGTTATATGTAATAATAGTATCTTTTTTTCCTAGGGGCCTTGGATCATACCAAATATTGTATTAACATGATTTGAAGAGTAGCACTGACCATAGCAGATAGTATTTAAGGTTGGAGCTGAACAGGCCAGAAAGAACAAGTATTGTGGAGGTCATGTGATATCAGTTGATGTCAGGAGGGGCTAGAGACAGATCAGACAGACAGACACAATCAATCATGCCTATGTAAGGAAGCCCCAGTAAGAACTCTGGTGAACTTCTCTGGCTGACAATACTCCATGCATATTATCATATACTGACATTTAAGAAGAGTAACCCTGTTCTGACTCCACAGGAAGAGGACAATAGAAACTCTCTGTTTGGTATTCTTCCTGGACTCTGTCCTATGTGCTTCTGGGTTTATTTTAATCTATACTTGTTTCTCCTTTAATAAACTATAATCATAACAGCTTTCAGTGAGTTCTGTGAGCCTTTTTAGCTTATTAACTTGAGGGTAGTTTTGTAAACTTATAGAACTTTTGTAACTTATAGAACTTGAGGGTAGTTTTGTAAACTTACTACTTTTCATAACATGCCTTGGATAATTTTATCACTAAAAATGATATTCATAAAAAGTTCACTAAAAATACAAACCACATTCATAAAAAGAAAATAAGGAAGCAAGGAAGCATGCAAGCACTGCTATGGAGTCAGAAAATATGGGTTCAAGTTCTAGTCCTATCATTAACCACTATGATCTTGAGCGACAACCACAATATGCTATTAGGCTATACATGGATATGAAACTTTGGTAAATAACAAAACTAGAGTATTCAAAAGAATATTATTTACACTAAATTATGTAACGGCAATTCAATCATTGAAAGGTATTTAAATTTATAATCAAAGTTTAAATATTTTTTTAAAATTAAAATACATATATTTAATCATTTGAGTCTTAAACAAATAGCTGAGTGCTCCTCTCCTTTAAAAGGTCTCTTAGACATGACAGAATCTGATAAACAGTTATAAGCATCTTCAAGTCAAAGACTGTACCCCGTATTTGTTTTTATGTCATCAATCGCTTGCAAACTGTCTGCAGCAAGACAACAGAATAGGTTTGCAATAAATACTCATTCAATAAAAACATGAATAATAATAATGTTGTTGTTATTAGATGCTGTCTAGTCACTTTTGATTCATATGTACCACAAAATGAAACTGCCCAGTCTTGGATCATCCCCACAGTGGTTGCTATTTTTGAGCCTATTAATTATAAAAAAGTAACAAACAAATAAATTAAGACTCTAGTCTTTCTTACCTGCTTTTTTCTTTCCCTTTTGACCTGGAACAGATTCTATGCCACTTTGGCCTTTTCTCATTAACATAGCAAGTGATGCATCATGAGCTCTGAATAGGTCCACTACCTCATGTAAGGCAACATCTGTTATCAGATCACAGCTGAGGACCAGTACATCTGTCTGTCAAATGGAAAAGGGAAAAGTAAGCACCACAAAGGACAACAGATCATACAAATTGTCACAGAATAAATTTATGATGCCTTAAAAGTAAAGGCAAATTGGGTAATGATTTTCAAATCATTTTATAAAGAAGCAGAATAAGTTAAAAAAAAAAGTGTGGTTGTTCCAATTGAGCTGTGTTAGTCAAGGCTCTGAAATCTCTAACCTTTCTCTCCCCTAGGTCTTACTGGATAGTCCCTGCAGCACCACTGAAACTCAAGTCTAAGGAACAAAGTCTGAAAACTAGCACCCTGCCTATCACTATGGAATTAACGATCTTTTATTTATTTACCTTTTTATCATTATAAAAAGTATTTTCACATAGCTTGATGACTCAATAAGGTTATGAAACACTACAGAGCAGTTGCTTTGCTAAAGGACTAAGAAATAAAAGGATATATAAAATTTCATTATCTTTTAATTCCATTTTCCCCACAAACTTTCTGAAGAAGCCCTCTTGTATAAACGATGGCTACCCCCAAAAAACCAGACTTGCACTGGGCAGAGTGGAGTTTGTAGTACACATTTCCCCCTGCTAGGTGAGCAACAAGCAACTTGTTCTGAATTAGTGCTCCCAAGTGGCAGAAAATGTTGTGATGTTGAACAGAGCTTACAAGGAAAAACAGTGCTGTGGGAAAAACTCAAGTGTACAAGTGATTTTCTCGATTTAAAACAGGTGAAATGCTGATTGTAGACAAACCTTGTTCTGAACGTCTGTCAACTTCCCAAACTGACTCGTAGTGCATTTGGGCTCCCTTCCACCAGGTCAGACTGTTAATCAAGCTTTCTATTTAGAGGTTCTGAAAAATTGCATAACAGTGTGTGACAAAAAAGGCCTGATTTGCCACCACCACAATGCACCTGGTCACGCAGCCATCTTAGTGTGCCAGTTTTAGGAACACAAACAGACAAGAAACAGCATGCCTGTATTGCCTCATGCACCTTATTCATCTGACCTCCCACGATGTGACTTTTTTGTTTTCATGAATGAAGAGGGACATGAAAGGACAGTGATTTGAGATGTAGAAGAGGTGAAAAAAATAATAATAACAAGGGAAGTGCTGTCAGCCATCCAAACAGGTGAGTTTGAAAAATGTTTCCAAGAATGGAATCGCAGATTTGACAAGTGTATTAAGTGTAATGGAGAGTACTTTAAAGGCGATAAGGTTGTTTTGTAAAAAAAATAATACATAGCTTTATGGTGGGGTGGGGGGAGTTCCGGTTTTTTGGAGGGTACCCTCTCATATAATATTCCACCCTTTAGCTAATACATAAGCAATTATAAATCCAACCTCAGTTACATACAAAGTAACCTTTTAATCTTCACAACAATCACAAAACAGTTGGGACTGTTAATAATATTATTGATTCCCATTTTTATAGATGGGAAAAATCAAACCTACCTAATACAGTGCCTGACTTATCATAGGTACTTTATGTGACAAATGAGCGAGTAAATTATGTGACAAATGAGCAAGTAAATCAATTATGAAAAGTTTTCTTGAATGGAAGGTTTTCTGATTACAATTCTAAAAGTTCAGATGAACTATGACAATAATAATGGTAATTAGCATACACTGAATGCTTACTATTAGTCAGGAACTGTGATAGCACTTTACATATAATATATCACTTAATTTTTATAATAACCTTATGTAGTATGCACTATTATTTGTTCTTTACAGAGTAAAAACCTGATTTACATTAGTAACTTAGCTAATTACTAGCAATGGCTATCTGCATAAATAATCTATGATACTGAATATTTAAAGATATATAGCCCTGGTAGCATAATGGTTATATGTTGGGCTGCTAACCTCAAGGTCAGCAGTTTAAAACCATCAGTCTCTCCGCAGGAGGAAGATAAGGTTTTATATGCCTTTACAGTCTCAGAAAACCACCGTGGCATTTCTAAGTTGTCCTATATGGTCACCATGAGTCTTGATGTCAGTGAGTTTGATATTTGAGCTTCTTTTACTGGAAGACACATTTAAGAGAGATTCTAATTCTTAGTATTGGATAATTGACACAACTAAGTGTAGTTTATGTTCAGCTGGGAAATCATATATATATATATTTTTTTTTGGAAATCATATTTTAAGAGTAGTTGTGATAAGTTAAAAAGGATCAAAATGGTCAAAGAGCTGGAAACCTTGACAGCTGAAAGAACAATAGATATTTACTAGGGAAAAGAAAAGACAATGTGGGAGAACAGTAGGCAGGGCAAAGAACGGGGAGAGAGATTCAGAAAGAAAAATATAATAGCACCCTTCAAATACTTAACAGTCTGAAAAAAAGAGCACATTTTCTGTAGCCCGAGAGCAAAACTAAGAGTGATAGGTAAAACGTGCACAGAAGTCACTATGAGTTGAAATGGACTCAGTAGCAGTGATTTGGTCTTTCAGTTATATTAACTTTTATCAATCAGAGCTAGTCACAAAGAGTAATTGTGTAAGAGAATGACTTCTCTATCATTAAAAGTGTTCTGGTAGAAACTGGATGATCACTTCCAATGATTCATTTATATAATATATATTGAGCACTTACTCCACCGGGCCTTATGGTGGAACTTAACAGAAACCTGAACTAGAAAGTAGTAAGAATGAGTGGCTAATAAGGGTACTCAATCATATTTTAAACAAATTTCTACTAAAATTCTGTGCCATTTGTTTTACATAAATGCAGATGAAGTTCCAAAATAACCAACTGGGAAACAAATTCTTTAAATGTAACCTTAAGTCAATGGTTCTCAATAGTACACCTACAATCTCCAGGGGTACTTTAGGAAAACCCTGCTTCCCTGCTGCCCTTCTTGATTTAACCAGGTAGCTCCACATTCATGAATCTTATTCTCTAGCTTCTATACACACTTTTGATAGACACTTTTGGTATTACGTTAAAAAATTATCCTAGGTTCATAAAGTTACTATCTACATTGACGTTTCTTTAAGTGGTTCCAACTTTTCTAAAATTTTCATTTAAACCCAAGATTCCTACTTTGTGTGGGAAAATCTATTTCAATTCACATTCTACTAAAGAAAAGAAGCATGTTCATGTAAAAAGTCAGGCTTAGCCATCAGAATACCTCAACTTGCCTAAAATTTAGTATTAGGTATATACAATCTGTACTTTTAAATATGACTCATTATCTATAGTCTGGTTAAGAAGTTCACATTTGTCTTTTCTCTATACCTCTGTTTAAGGCCTGCATAATTCTTTCTGGGTCTTAATTCTAAGATTGAAAAAAAAGTTCTTACAAATTTCTTCTTTTAAGGAAAAAATTCTTAAGTCTGTAACTCAGTATCCAGGAACCACAAACACTAATAAATCAGCTAATACACAGGAAAGCTAAGAAAGAAACAGTCTGCAGAAAGGTAGGGGACATGTGGCCATTACATAAGATATCTACACAATTGTCACTAAAGGAGTACAGAGTTGCTCCATCTCATAATAATGGTAAAAAGTTTACTGAAGAAGAATTTGTTTTTCCAAGTTTCTTTCATGTCTGATTTTATAAGCTAACTATTCTACAATATATTGAATTATTAAGTACACTCCAAAATGTAGGCTATGACCCTAAAGCTTCTGAAGTAGTGACAATATTATCTTGGAAAATAAGTGCCGTTATCATTTAATGTCTGTAAAAGTGCTTAAATCTGTCAGTAGTGAATGACGAACAAGTCCTGCATCATTGTGAACAGGCTGCAGGTTAATTTTTCTCCATGCATTTAGATGACTTTTTTCTAAACTGAATGCAAAATCCCCAAAGAGCACAAGGAACAGATCCCGCCCCCAATGTCTGCCTGCCATCTGCTCTCAGTGTGAAAAGAAAAGCTTAGGTCTGAGACAGTAGGCTCAGGATACAGATGGAGGTGCTGTCAATCCACCTCTCTCCTGTTCGAGTTCCCAGAAAATGCACCATGTAAGATTCACTGAGATCAAACAAATTCCCATCCTCTTTGGAATTCCCATCCTCATCACTTGCAAAGAAATCTTTATTGTCTGATCATTATATTTTGTTTCCAATGCTGGAGATCCTAGAAAAAGGAACATAAGTTTGAAAGAAAAAATAAATCATCCTTCATAATACCTTCATGACACTTTTCTTGACTTTTTAAAATAAATAAATAGAAAACATATGACTGCTGCTCTGATTTTTATTATAGAAATGTGAAGACCAGTCTAGCAGTATTTTTAGACTTATTGGTGCACAGTGGGAGAAATAAAAATTGGCAAAAAGCAGAAAGGTATTTTTAACACGTGACCACAATTCATGAATAAACATGAGCTATTTGGACTGTGAAGCAGCTATATAGCTGAAATGACACTAATGTGAAAGCTCCTTAACTTCATCAACCCTCAATTGCCTTGTGTTTCATAACACCAGTTCTGCTCTAATAGCAACTAGAATTGCCGAAAACCTGACTATTCGTACTACAAAAGTACTCAGCAGGCTTCAGCCAAGACTGCCCCTAGAGCAGTGGTTCTTAACCTTGCTAATGCCGTGACCCTTTAATACAGTTCCTCATGTTGTGGTGACCCCAACCATAAAATTATTTTCATTGCTACTTCATAACTGTAAATTTGCTACTGTCATGAATTGGGCGACCCCTGTGAAAGGGTCCTTCGGTCCCCAAAGGGGTCACGACCCACAGGTTGAGAACCACTGCCTAGAGGCTCTAGCATCTAGACTAATGCCCAGAGCAAAAATCATATCCCTGAAAGAGTAAATGTATACACTGTAGATAAAATGGAAACATACAGGGTTCCCAAGGGAACCAACATTTTGGTACTTGAGGAGAAATCAAGACTCGAGGAATTCAAAATCTAAACTGCTGCCAAACAGTATGGCTAAACAAACAAATTTAGTTCAGCAAACCCAATCACCAAGTCACGGGAAGGCCTAGAAATACCTCCTTATAAGAGCATTTTCTTTTTGTATATATACATATATATAAATA